GAGTTGGCTTTTGTAAGCACGTAAACTAAGATCCTTCCCCAAAATCTTCCATAAAGTGGATGGACACAGATCCAATTCCAGTGCTCGATGGCGGAAGGACTCATTCGGGTCTTCCTCAATGCTACGCTCTACAGCAGCAATAGCTTCTTCTGTACGCACCGTACGGCGTCTCCGGGGATGCGCGTTATCAATAAACGTGGTGCGAAAACGTTCCACGGTTAATCAAATTAACTGCTCTGATGGGCGATTTTTTCGACGATAAAATGGACGTAGTGCGCGATACGTATTCCGCACAGAATCATTATTTTCGAAATAAAATTGCACTATTTGCAAGCGTTGTTCAGGCGTGAGTCTATTCATAATGAATTGCTAAACCAAACTGAGAATAAATCACTTGACAGCTGTTAAATCGATCGCCATATTGAACAGTAATGCCAACTTAAAGTTCTATACATCGAAAAAAAAAACACCCTATATAACAACCTTTTTTCTTATTCTATATATTTATTTAATAAAAAATATACATTTGAAATATAGTTTTGGCTAATTAAAAACAAAACTAAAAATTGGAATGGACAAAGCGAAAATTAAAGCTTCAGTTTTCAGGTCAAAAAGGGAAAAACAAATTAAATAACAGCCATAATCATAAAAACTAGATGTTTAAAAAACCAGAGTTCCAACTTAATATGTATAAATGTGTTACATTATGTTAAGCTTGTTTGGTGCTGACTCCTAAATCTAAAAAAAAATGTATTACATCCATAATTGGGCATGTGTTGAGTTATTTGAGTTACTCCTAATGGTGCTAAAAATGGAACTTCAGACAGAATAGAGAGACAAGCACAACTGGAGTTGTGTGTTTGTATAGCAGCATTAGGTCGGCCTCGGTCATCCTCCATTTCCGCAATGATTCAATGAAATAGTTCAACGCTATAAATGACGGAAACAACGTCGTTTCTTGTGCTTTCAACTGAATATTGATGAATATATTGAATTGAAAATTAAACAATCTAGATTTTTATCAATATCGAAAAGCTTCTTTAGTACCAATATATTTTCCACCAAATTTAAAATTGCTGTATACATTTACTTGTCTTTAGAGCACTTTAAACTGCCATTAACCATTATACCAAACCCGGAACACCCTGTAAAATGTACTAATGGTCCGAAGACGAATTTATCCCACTTGTTGGTGTTTGAATAGTTACCGATATCCTGCGGTTCCTATTCACGTGATATCGATCTCATTTCCGTCCCGTTACATAATACCCGGATTGGGCCATGGAAATCGAAAAAAAAAACACTTTAGATGATGGATTTCCGTTGCAAAAGCGCGCACTTTCCGGCGTGTAGGTCTAATAAATGAACGTGGCCGCGATTTAGGCACGCAATATTTGCTTAAAAATTATTTGACAAAATTGTATCGTCAACGATGACGTCATTTTATTGCACTCGATTGTTGTTAAAGACGAACACCATGGATGGTTGTAGATCAACTAAACATTTTGCAAATTATTTTTTTAAAGAGTTTCAAATTATATGCCGATCCTTCCCGCCCATATTTTTCAAGTTGCAATTCGAAAATCATTAAGTACATCTCAACTAGGCTCAATGGACTTGAAAACGACCATCTATATCCAACAAAGTTTCACTCTGCCAAACTGACTCAAAGCAATTCATGATAACCAAAAAACAAAATCATGGTATAATTAACAACTAAATGAAAATTTTAAAATGAAATCTAGAAAAAAGGAATTGTTAACCATGCCTCACGGTGGTCCAGAATCATCCAAAAAGTTTGACAAATCACAAATTTTACTTTTCGAGATAACTACAGCAGAGTTAGACAAGTAGGCTTTGAACTATCTAAAAAGAATTAAATCGCGGGGAACATCTCCTTAGTAACCGTAAACAGCGTCCGAATATTTAAAAAACTGTCCAAGTTCTGCTTCCTGTTTTGTGGCCACGATAAGTAAATACCTTTTTTTAATGGATGAACTTAATAGAATTATGTTCAAGTTACTTACATCAATAAAGACATATTAATTTTGCTTTTTGCTTGGAGATATCTCAAGAATCGAGCAAAACGTAATCGCACTTTTTTTTATATAAATGCTAATTGTGTCATAAACCTTCCTAAAAAATAAATTTTTGCCCATCTCTGCCTCCCTATTTTATAAAAATATATTAAGGTATGCATTTGTTTTATGAAGCGCGTTAAAGCGGTCGCGAGGGTAATGTGATGAAATGTCACACTATTTCCAGAAATTTACATTTTGAAGCAGGCGTTACAATGCCTGAAATAAAATCAATTATCTTTTCTGTATTGTGTGACACCTGTCGAAATTACCAAATTAGATGAAAAACTGATTTTCAGATGTTATGTTATTTTACATGTTTTAGCTACTTTTAGTTACTGTACTGCTCGATTATTCGTTTTCCTGTTTCCTTTTTACAAAATGACAGTAATTATCCATAAAATATTGATACACGGAAAAGAGATCGTGAAGTCCAGTCCAGTGCCAATCGGACAACTCTCCGAAGAGGCCCAAGAGGCCCACAATATACAGAGTACCGAAGATACAGGAATGCGAGAAAATGCAGCAGGCTTGCAACAAATTTGGATCCAAAAATCGCAAATTTACGCAAAATCAAAGCTCTCAATAAAAACAGATTTAGTCCCAAAGCTTTAAATTTGCCTTTCAAAGAAAATATTAAAATCATGAGGGATCAGACGAAAATAATGACTTGTGTTAAATTTGTTATGTTATTATTATTATTATTATTATTAAATTAAAGTTAAAACTGTTTAGTTTTATTTAGAAATATTTTCTGTTTTTTTTTCAAATCGGTTTCTACAAAAACTACAGATTTGCCATTATCTCAGAACAAAGAATGCAAGGTGATATTTTTCTACATTATTTACTCATCCAAAGGCAGATAATCTAATTTCTGGTGCAAATGTTTATCACAGAATGAATTTTAAATACTCCATCATCTATTATCTAAAAAAATTTCCCATAAACACAAGCATTGAGGTTTTTCACCTTTTCACGAACTTCATAAAAAATTCTCATTTTACAGGAAATTTTGCAAATTTAGTATTTTCTCATTCATTTAATTAATAAAACAGCTTTTAAATAAGTTTTCTAACTTTTTGGGTCACCCTGGCACATTATGGGCCTCCAGAATCCTATAGCAATAAATAATGGATTAGTTATAACTTATAATTTATAAAATAAGATATATATTGCGTTTTAATTTTTTCAATGGTCGGGCGACATTTTAAAAATGTCATTTATTTTTGCCACTGGTCACTGTGTCTTTCTATGCGTTTTGATATTTCCACGAAATGTTTGAAACAGTTTCTATAAATAATAATTCAAACACCGGATTACTTAATAAAAGTCGTCCTCAACTGACATGAAACTGTCCATTGGAAATGGAAATCATTAAATTCTGCGTCATGTGGGCAGCCATTAGAATATTATTAGGAGTGTGAAATTCCAGTCCAATGTGCCCTTGAACTGATTGCCTAGTTAAAGCTACATTAGCGTGCTAAGAGCGTAAGTTGGGCAAGGTTACAAAACGATGAAGTATCTAATTACGGAGACGAGCTTTTAAGAGTATTTTCCTCACATGTAAATATAATTATTCTGACATTAATACCTAACTCACAATTCGGCAACGCTAGCGTCAAACTTGGATTCGGTGTCGCATCTGAGTCCCAATTTGTAAAGTAGGGCAGGAATATAAATTTCTGCTGGCTTACCAATACTCGTAAAATTGTGTCAAATATCACTCGCTAATTTGGCGAATCGGAGGGATTTCACGCTGATTGCAAATACCCACACCTACATCTCTCTCACCCGCCCTCATGTTTTGCTTGTACACAGTATATGTATACAGAAATATTATCCATAAATAAATTTCAAACCAATCATGCCATAGTCCCATTAATAATGTTCTAAGTATAAGAAATAAGAAAATCAAGTTCACTATATCGGATGTGTGAAATTCGGTCGGTGAAAAACGGTAAGAGATGAAGGGTTGCTCAAATTAGCATAAAGTTACCTTTGTTCTCCATTTTCGGTTTTTTTAACGAGTTTATTTTAGAACCGACTAATTTATTTCATGAACCCGTTTTAGTTGTTTATAAATATCAATTGGATCAATTACATTATTACTATATTTTGAATAACCCCTTTTGTTAGATTTTCAATGGTGTATTACAAGATATCTGCACTTGCTCCTAACCAAAACTAACCAAATATTAAAGAAAACGTCTTTTTGTAATACACTTTTAGTATAATGTTGGGAAAGGCATAAGTCGCCTGGTAGTTTTGAAAACAGTACATGGATCAGTCAGCATTAGATAGTTATTTTATATGGAAATGTGCCACACAAGGTTTGAGTCAGGTTTTCTTTACAAAAAAAGCGAGTGTTTTCGTTGACACAGTTTTATCGTTTTGAATTGGCATCTTCAATGCTCGGGCTCCGAGTGTTTGAAGTGTTTTCGGAGCCCGAGCATTGAAAATGCCAAGTGAGATCTTGGCGAAACGTCTGCAGGATTCAAATCGGAGTTCAACAAATGAACGGATGATATCCCGGAATATATTGTCATGATTATATATATATATATATATATATATATATATATATATATATATATATATATATATATATATATATATATATATATATATATATATATATATATATATATATATATATATATATATATATATTGGCGCATTTCAAATTTTGGAATCCTCCAATGGAGTTACGCCTTCAAAGATGCTCATTTTAACAACTGCGCATCGCGGCGGGATAACAGCAGCTATTTTTACCTGGGCAAGGGCGTCGGTATCAAAACGGTAAATAAAATAGGTCTATGTAAAATGCATTCGAGGAGTCATGTTACGTGTTACCATTGAACCTTGACCCAATCGCTGGGTCAGTATTGGTGCGCGCGACGCCGTCTGCCAGCGTCGCGGCGTTCGGCGTCAAGTTCGGACGCGGACAGTTTAACTGTTGCTGAAACATCATACGCGCGGTGACGTCGAGAACGTGGGTTCGCGCGCCGCTCTTCTTAAGGTACAAAAGTTTCCCGGGGGTGAAAATTCCTACGAGCGCTTCGTTGTTTCAAAGTGGATTCGCGGCGCGATATAGAGATCTAATAGATGGTAAGTGAACAAAAATTGAATTCGGGAATTGCGTTAACTGTATGAGAGAAAATTATGTTTATATACCAAAAACAAATTTTACTTTTTTCATAAATTTTCTTATATGCTAAATACAAGGGTTTATCATGTAGTTGTTATTAATTTAGTGTCAATGTCAAATATTGAAGTTGTTGAAAATATAACTTTATTTTCAAAAAATGTCATTAGTTTTGGTAAATTAATTGATTGAGGAAATGAACATGAAAGTATCAGGTGAGTAAGTGTATTACGTAGATGAAATTACTTTTTCCTGGTATGAAACTAAAATAAACGGAACTTTATAGGGTAACAGGTAATAAAAAATATAATTCATTATAAAGTATGAATCCCCAAGGTTCATGGTTAAAACTAATCCATTTTGAAATTATTGAAATTTTTCGAAAAGTTTCTATATCTAATATTTACCACACTATTTATTAGACTATTTATTAGAACCACAAACAAAGTAAATTAACAATTAACTGCAGTTGAATGGATCTACCAGGTGCTCAAAAAGAATGTAGACGGTGAAATATCTCGAGAATTATACAATTATTCAAAAAAATGTTTTTTAATGTTGAGTAACAAAACTGCCAACATCTTACTGCTATTTTGACACCTTAAACGGGCACCCTCATTTATGACTCGCATTCTATGCAACATAAACTTCAGCTTTTGTCCGAAATTTCCTTTTGGATTTTCAGTAGCGTTGTAATCGATTTATCAAGAAATTAACATTAATTAATTAATCATTTATGAATGAGCGTCTGCGTAACGCTTGGCTTGGTACTTGAAATCTACCAAAAAAATTGATCGCTTCAAACGTCGGATTCATAACATTGGCTCGTGAATTTCTTGATAGGATAAATCTTTTTTTACGATTACGGCACCGTCTACTCAAAATCCAAAATAAAACTTCCAACAAAACGTGAAGCTTTTGTTGCATAGAATCCGAATCTGTAATAAAAAACGAATTTCGCAGTTGCCTGCCTCTCACCACCTGTAGGTTTGGATGTGGGGGGTCACGTTTGGTGTAATTGAATTCCAAGATATTTTCCTAACCAATTATATAATTTTCCACATATTCCACCTTTTCCATAATTTTTAGATATGTTGTATTCAAAACATATCGAGAAAAATCTGAGGGATCAAATTTAAATATTTCAACATTTAAACATAGTACAAATTAGAAGATGCTATTAATTAGAAAATTTGAAATTTCATGCTTTCATTTTTATACTATTCATATTTTATATATCATGTACGTCAAAAATTGGAAGTGATCTAGAAAATATACAAATCATTTATTTATTTCAACCCATTTTTTTTTTAATTTTCATATATTCATATAAGATGACAAGATTCGTATGTTTGATATCCAAAGTTGGTGTCGGGTGTGGGGTAAAGTACCTTAATTTGACCGTTGACCATTCAAAACCGCATTTAAAGGTCATACGTGCCGCCGTCTACAAAGCAGTTTGATTTTACAAACGTTAGGCTAAGTGTAATTGGTGGTAACAAACATTTACCAAAGCTCTTGCGATTACGGATTACTAATGCTCAATATGTGGAGTATGCCGTGCTTTGGTCTATAAGTGCTGATGCGTGAAGCGGATTACATTGTCACTGCCGATTAGTTAATTTATGTCTAACATAATTGTGTCAAAACTCTTCTAAAAGAGGAACTGCTGATATACATAATACAGCAAAATCAAACTTCCAAAATAAATTTAATTGCGGACATTAGGAAATATAAATTGAATTAGAAATATAAGAATTAAAACAAGGGATAAACAGCTGAAGTTGTCGGCTACTTTTGCAGCATAGAAAAGTGAAAAAAATAATATAGAGAAAAGCGAAAGAAATAGAATGAAGACAAAAAATAGCAAACTATTTTTAATCATTTTTATATCGATCAATAAAGCATTAAATATTGGAAATTTTTAAATTATAGTTTACAAATACATTGGTTAGAGAATTTATTAATACCGCAGCGGCGGCGACTTCAACGCATGTTTCGCTCTGACATTTTAATAAAAATTTACCGCAAATACGAGTCCTGAATATTCTGAACTTTAACGCCCTGCAGCACACAAAAGATGCATTTCCGGGCGGATATTTGATGATGATGACATTTTGCCGGTACTGTGGCATATCTAAACAAATTTTAAGTGTTACTAAGAAATCTCAATATAGTCACAATTTTTATCACTGTGTCATAGAAAATCCTCATCAAAATCGGCAAGGCCGCTTTGAATTTTCCGAGCAAGATATGTTTTACATTACTTTGCGAACATGTGCTGTCATATAGTCAGTCAAGCACAGATACTACCAAAATGTTGAGCAATTACAAAAATACCCAATAAAAGCAAAAATAGTTGGGTTGTTATAAAACAATAGATTTTTACAAAAATTGTATAACTGTAGGTGATAAAAAGTTACAAAAAAACTAAATTTTATTGATTATTTCGGTAACTTTATAAATATTGAACTGAACTGAACCGATAATCATTTCAGTTAATAAAAGGAAAATGAAAATTTGCTAGACAGTCTCTAGAAGGCAGGAGCGGAAACAGTAGGAACCCATTAAAACTAATAATATAAAACTAATAATACTAACAAGTATAAACAAAAAAAAATTTAATGGAAGGAGTTCATAAATATAATTTTTCTGCCATGACGAAGTAGGTTGTTTATTTGGAATTCTGTACTATTCTTTGGTATGTTGTCTAGTACAATTAATAATTGTTAATGATGGAGCATCAAAATTTTTGATGTGTTAAAAAAATTGTATCTGAAATAAATCTTGACGAAAAAGCAGTACGCAAAATAATGAGCCAAACGGAATGGGCACGAGAAAACTCTCCCAAAACTCGTGCCCATTCTGTTTTCTTGTTACAGGATCATCTGGCCAAGATTATGAACCATTTCCATTTGAAAACATCCATATCTCATTTAAATCTTGATGTTTTATTTCCACTATATTTCTTTAAAAACTGAACACGCTGACTTAGTGTCTGGCGTTCCCATAAAAATTTTCGCTTACAATATTTATACACAGCGAAATCTTAACAATCTTAATAATTTTGATGAGGCTACAAATCTATTATTGATTTTTGATCTATATAAATCATTAATCACATTAATCATTAATCACATTTCGAATTTCCATCAAATCTTCAGTCTTTGAATTTTCTGGAATGACGCTTTTCAGTTTCCATAGAAAATATTTTGTGCTTTTTCTTTCCCAATGCTTTCGTTACCATTTCCTGGATATTCTTGGTGATTTTCCACTTTCTTCTTCATTTTCAAAATGGTTTATTAAATTTAAAATCATTGTTTTTTTGTGGGGATAAAAAAAAGAAATTGTTTTTATTATTTATATTTCCACTTAAAACTGCCAAGGTCTTATAACTGACTTCTATAAATCTAAACTTCTTAAAACCGCATAAAATTATAAGCTTATCTTTTTCTTGATGTCTAGATACATTTATCTTACCATAAAAGAAAAACAAACGGAAAAGTTTGTCGTAAGACCCGCACGATACGATGATTTTGATTATATAAATTTTGAGTCAACTGTCTTAAAGATGTAAATTTGGGGAGAACTGTTCATGGGTTATCAATTCTTGATAATGTCGTGATTATGTACCAAGGGAAATTCTCGCCTTTTATCTACAGGGTGCTTTTGTTAATAAAGATAAATATCTGAGTAATGAAATTTAAAACATATGCGTTCGTTAGGTTAATCGTAATAAATTTAGAACAATTGTTAAGTCGTCTTGATTTATACGGACGCCGATAAACGTAATATATGAAATGGCAAATTGCCATGTAGTTGAGGGTGGCCGACATTGCAAGACTGGATCCGCTTTCCAGTCATTTATTTAAGGAAATGACGCGCTAGACTTTGCATAGACGTGTGCAATATGAGAGAGAGGGAGCGAAATCTGAAGTAGATTGAAATTGCATAATGGATAGAAGCATCGCACTGTAATACGAAATTTAACCGCTGTACGTTATTACAGTTTACTTCATCTGGTAGCGAAAGATTGGCTTTATATTTGCTTTTTATCATACAATTAGAAGTAAACTTCTCTTGACTAAGGCTTTGAAAATGTTCGTAAACCATTCCACCGATCTATGCCTAAAGCACAGCCAATAACAGAAAACTTGTAACAGAAGAAAAAATAATAGCTATTTACCTACCGATTGAGGAAAAAATTTAGAGCTATGCAAATATTTTTTTCAGATTCTAGTTAAAAAATTAGAATAATATTTACCTTCTACTGGCCGTACTATTGCCTTAATGCCCGTACCATAGTACAGTTTTATGAAATCTATGAAAATGTGAATATAGAATAAATCAAAGTGTCTGGGATTGTTACGGTAGCAAAAATCTCATTTTCTTTGCAGTATCCACGGATAGCCAGAGAAACTCCAGCAACACCAGAGGTTAGGATGTTAGTAAATATAGTATCATTTGAAATCCTACCAAATAATCTTCTATAAACAAGATTACCATTTGTTTAAATTTGCACGGAGAGAAATAAATGAAGAAAATAACAGAGGATCTAAGGAAAATTATCAATTTTTGATCATTTTAAAGAAGTTTTGAAAGATTTCCTTTTAATTATTTAGGAAATAATTATAGACAATTAATTTACAATAACTTAGGTTTTTCAATTGAATAAAATATTATTACAAGCTGCTACCATCTAAATTAAAATGTTGGCAATGTATGGCTGATGTATATATGATAGTCCACGGTGCAGGAAGGAAGAATTTCCCTATCTATCTTAAAATTATCAGTTGCTCCCTATTTCTGAGTGCGAAAATGTCAGTTTCCAAGGGGTAGTTGAAAAAAAAATTCCTACTCCGTTGGGCATAACTTATGCTTATGAGGTTATGAGGTTCCGTTTGGCAGAGTTTAAAAAATCCTAGCAATTTGTTTGCAATTTATGTTCTCGTGTTGTCAGACCAAAA